TACTTTTAGTTGAAACATCACATGGTGGAAGGGGAGAGGGAGCTCTCTCAGGCCCCACCTGCTAATATCATCCCCTTGGGTTTAGGAGCGGCCATAGGGTTAAGCCTCAGACTGACCAGTGGTAGGGCCACAAACAAGTTCCAGTTTGGAGGGCAGAGCCCTCCCAGCATAATTAAGCTTGACCTTATAGCCCTACCTAGTTCCTTCCTAGGTAGCTAATGGGTTGTGGGAAGTGCAGCAAGTGCTGCCAAAACAAGGTGAAACTCACAAGAACCTTGTAAACATGTTGACCACTACATTGTTGTGATCTGACTATAAAATAAAGCCTCGGCTTGCAGGCTGGGTCTATCTGTGTCCTTATCCAGGTACGGGACATCCGCTGTACCCCAGCTGTATTCTCTTGTCTGCCTTCTTTAATCCTTCACCGCCCCTCCTCAGGTTCACCCTTGGCCATGCTGGCATGGCACACTTGGGGGTTAAGATTTCAAAATTTTTATTTCAGGAGGGATGACAACATTCAGTCTATAGCATTCCACCATTGATCCCACAAAGTTCAATCTATTGCACATACTATTGTTGTATTATTCAGTCCTTAAAAGAAAGGAAATCCTGTCAGGTGCTGTGCCATCGGTGAGCCTTGAAGCACTGTACTTAGTGAAATAAGCTGGTCACAAAAATACAGCTACTGGATGACTCCCTTTCTGTGAGGTATCTAAAGCTGTCAAATTCTTAGGAACAGTAAGTAGAATGGTGGGTACCAGGGATTGGAGTGAGGGACAGATGAAGAGTCATTGTTAAATGGCTAAAGTGTTTCAGTTTTGAGGATGAAAATGTCCTGGAGAATGTTTGCACAACAATGTCAATATTCTTAACACTACTGAACTGTAAACTCAAGAATAGTTAAGATGGAAAAATTTTTTAAAAATATATCTTTATTGATTTCGGAGAGTAAGGGAGAGTGAAAGAGACAGAAACATCAATGATGAGAGAGAATCATATATTGGCTGCCTCCTGCACATCCCCTAATGGGGATCAAGCCCACAACCCAGGCATGTGCCTCTGACCAGAATCGAACCCGGGATCCCTCAGTCCACAGGCCAACGCTCTATCCACTGAGCCAAATCAGATAGGGCAAGATGGCAAATTCTATGATATATATCTCCAATATTATAAACCTAATCACCAAACAAAAAGCCTCACCATTTTTCTTTACCTGAAGAACTTACTTTAGTATTTGTATAGGAAAAGTCTACTGGAATCAAGTCTGTTTGCTTATTTTATACACAAATATGATTTAATTTATTTAAATCATCACCTGAGAGTTTCAGTCAAGATGGTGGCACAGGTAAACTCGGCACTCGCCTCCTCCCACAACAACATAGAAATTACAACTAAAATATGGAACAATCATCATTCAGAACCACCTGAAATCTGGCTGAAAGGAATTCCTACAACTAGGGAATTCAAGAAGATGCACATTGAGACTGATAGGAGGGGAAGAGATGCAGGGCAGACTCTCAGGACCAGCTGGTCTCACACCCACATGTGTTGGTTTAAAATCAGGAGGGATATCTTGACTGTGGAGGTTTCCCTGAGGAGCAAGGGTATCAAGTTCGCACAACTTCTGGATCAAAAAAACAGCGAGGATTGTGGCTGAGTGGCACAGAGGCTGCTGGAGCCCCAGGCAGCTCCTCTTAAAGGGCCTGAGCATGGTCTTACTCAGACTCACTCCCTCTGAGCCCTAGCACTTGGGCTGCAGCCTTTTATATATATAGATAGTACAGAGAAAAGAGAGATAATTCAGTGTTCCCTTCATCATGGCTGGTTGACATTTCTTTTTCTCCTGTTTCTTTCAATCACATAATTTGTTACTGGGATTGTCTGAAGTTTCACATCACTGCCATATTTGGGAAAACATTGATCAAGTTTCTTTCTTTCATAAAAGAGCAGTAGGATTGCAGGTTATGTCCACATATCACTCCAGCATTTGCTGGGCTTCGAAAATGGGTGGAGCATGTGAGGGGCCTGAAGGTTAAGCTTCTTGAGGTGTAGGTGGCGAATTTGCTGCTGTGCTGTGTCCCTCCAAAAAGGGTGAGATCTCCCTTCACACATCGCCTTCTGATGGGGCCTGTGTGCTGTCACTGTCCCAGGTCCCTCAGACCCTGAAAGACCCACACGTGTGCTTCCCATGTCCCCACAAAGCTCTCAGAGCAAAGGGCTTGAATGCTCAACTTTTTGCTGGTGTTCCACCCACCCAACTGGAGTTGAGTCTAAATTGCTTTTTCTCTTGCCAGCACTTGAGTTGTCTAAAGAAAATGTAAAGTTATCCTTTTCCAGACCCATCAGTGGTTTCAGCTCAAGGGTGGGTCTCCCTCAAGTCCAGCTCTGACCCCAGTGGCCCCCTGGGTGACCTCCCTCTCCACTTACACATCATCTGCAAGGTGATTACTTTCAGATTCACATCTGGACATGCCTCTCAACCCCTGGGGGCCACAGCATATCCACCCGCAGGGTTGGATGGGAGACGGGAGGGAGACAGGATGATTTCTCAGCCACCACCCCCTCCCACTTCCTGTGGAGGCCAAGTTCCCCTTCCAGCCTGGCCACAGTCTCTCCCCCAGGGCTTCCTGTTGGGGTGTCCTAGGCCCCACCCCAGAGCTGGGCACTTTCCTCCCTGACACAGGGACCTGGACCCGCTCTGCCCTGCCAGAGGCAGACATGGTGCCCCTGCTGCTGCTGCCCCTGCTGTGGGGGGGTGAGTGGCTGAGGGAGGGGGCAGGGCAGGTGGGGGATCAGCAGCGGCTGCCGCTGAGCCTCTGTCCCCCTCCCAGGGTCCCTGCAGCAGCCACCAGGCTATGAGCTCCGAGTGCAGGAATCGGTGACAGTGTTTGATGGTCTGTGTGTCCACGTGCCCTGCTCCTTCTCCTACCCGTGGAGTTCGGGGTCTTCCTCTACCAAAGTCTACACCTACTGGTACCGGGACACTGGAAAGCCAGCCTCTGCTGCTCTTGTGGCCTCGAGCAACTGGAATAAACAAGGCCGGTTCCTCCTTGCGGACCCCAGGACCAACAACTGTTCCCTGAGCATCACAAATGCCAGGAGGACTGACACAGGACGCTACTTCTTCCGAGTGGAGAGAGGAAATTCTGTGAGTTATAGTTACCGAGAGAAGATGCTGGATTTGCAGGTGACAGGTAAGACAGGGGCCCAAGATAGGACCCAGGGACACAGAACCCTGTCGTAGAGCAGGAACAGGACACTGGACAATCCCTGTCTAGGCCTTGGGCCCTGGGTGGTGGGAAGATCACAGGGCCTGGGGAGCTCTGGGGCCCCGGAGGCATGAGTCCCACTCAGGATCACACTTTGTGTCCCCAGCTCCTGATACTCAGGCACCTCCCACTCTCCTCTTCCTCCCTGACAGACAAACCCCACATCCAGATTCTGGAGCCTCTAGAGTCTGGCCGCCGAACACAGCTGACCTGCAGCCTGCAAGGGGCCTGCAAAGGGCGACAGCGTTTCACCTTCTCCTGGGCGGGAGCCGCTGTGGACTCGCTGGACCCCCAGACCCTCGGCTCCTCGGTGCTCACCTTCACCCCGAGGCCCCGGGACCATGGCACCAACCTCACCTGTCAGGTGAAACGGGAATGGCCTCA